CATTTATATATCTAAAATATGCAATTGTTAATTTTAAATTTTATTTGTAAAATTTTATTTCTACATTATATTAATTGTTAAATTTTATTTCCACAAAATTATCTAAAAATATTAATTACGAAAAAAAAAGGAAAAAAAAAAAAAAAAAAAAAAAGAAATAAAATTTCTGACGAAACCCTAATAAACCTAAATAAAGACAAAAAACAAATTTTGAAAGATCTTTAACATTTTCCAAAATTACCTATCAACAATTAAATTTTTATTATAAATCAAAATATCGTTAGATCTCTTTGGTACGATCGTATTCGCATTGATTCGAAACGCTTCAAAAAATTTTTAAGTTCCTTTAAATGACAGCTACAATTGATCTAATGTTCTCCATAAAGTCAAAGAGCCCGAACAAAAAAAGAAAAAAGAAAAAGAAAAAAAAAAAAGAAAAAAGAAAGAAAAAAGAAACAAAAAGGAAATAAAAAATAACAACTATACGACGTATACCTATGCCTGACATAGGATAATAATCTCGTAAACGTGAAATTGTTCTCGCCCGATTACGTTAACTCCATTTTCTCACTTCGCATAAATAATTATTCTCGTAACGAGCATTGTTGATCGATGATGTTACGAGCAAACTAGCCACGTAATATGCTGTGCTCGTAATGCTTCCTAATCGCTCATACATACCAACTTAAAATCTTCATTTCGATGCAAATGAAAGTGCATCGAAAGCAATAAAGAGAGAGAGACAGAGATATAAATAGATAGAAAGAGAGAGAGAGAGAGAAAGAGAGAGACAGTGAGTGAGAGAGAGAGAGAGAGAGAGAGAGAGAAAGAAGGGAAGGGGGAATAGAAATGCGATGGTTTTTCTTGAAGGATTCTTTAAAAAAGAAAAAAAATAAGGACCAAAAAAAAAGAAAAACACAACAACAGAAACAAAAAATAAAGATAAAATCTGCCATAAAAAAAAAAGAGTGATAGAGCAAGAAAAGAGAAAGTATTGTAAACTCACGATCGATAGCTCAATAAAAAGCGGAGATGTACGAATATTTCCGAGAGATGAAACTTGTATATCCGGCTTTCTTTGTGAAATATTTTTTTCAAGTGTTACTTTTTTTCTTTTTTCTTTCCTTTTTTTTTTTTTTTTTATTTATTATCATAATAATTTATAGAGAGGACTGAAGCACGATCTTTTTTTGCCCAGACTGAACAGTTAATCATTCGTAACTCGTTTTTCTTTTTCATTGATTGAAAAAAAATAAAAAATTTATAAGAAATTTTTGTAGTATAATCAAATATAAATATATTTATATTATAAGTATTATTTATAAATATATTTATAAGTATTAGAATACTATGTACTTAAGTATAAGAAATTGTAAATATTACGTAGTATATTGTACTATAGTATAACTAATTTTAAATATAGTGAATTATAGTTTAATCATGTAGAAGTATTATTATACTATAATATAATCAAGTATACTATTTTGTATCGTAATGAAACTATCAATATAATTTCTATATTATATCTGGAATTTTTTACAAAATTTTCTGTTGAAAAATATTGAAAAAAGAAAAAAAAAGAAATTATAATGAAAAATACAATTCGTTATCCAATTAAAAAATAATAATAATAATAGAAAATCGAATAATATAATAAAAATTTCATCGCTCAAACATAATAACTAGCAAGTATTTTTATGACAAAGAAAATAAAAAATAATAATAATACGCACGAAAAATACAAATACATACACATATAGACATATGTGTGTGGGCGTGTACAAGATATATGACTATGAAAGTTATATGATTTTTTTTAAAAGGTCGAATCTTTCGAAATGAATTCGAAACGACGATAGAATTCTATAAAACAAAAAACAAAAGAAACAAAAGAAAAAATACGACAGACATAAATTTCCCAATTACGCATGATGTTCGAATGGATACAAAAATGAACACGTGTATATCAATTTAAAATAACCATTCGTTGTACTCATTTATTTCATTCGTTAGAAAAACTTTTCACGTAACAGATCACAAACTGTATCCATAAAACAGCCAATAGCTATTAGGAGTTAAAAAAAAAAAAAAAAAGATATACATTACGACGCTATACACGTATTATTATTAACATAGAACGCATTAGGTATGTAAACAGATACATATGCGAGCACACATGTGAACGATTCTCGTATACGTTAAATTCAGTTTTTAAAAAGTTAAATATTTTTCATCGAAATCTTTCTCTAATAATTTGATATAGAAGTATAATGTTTTAAAAGGATTGAAAGAAAGAAAGAAAGAAAAAAAAAAAGATTGATTCTAATTAATAATCCGTAATATTATTAATACGGACTAATTGATATTTACATGACCGAACATATATATATATATGCAAACATTTTCAACGTAAAGTTTAAAAAATTCAACTATTTCTCGTTTTTTTTTTAAAGTATATTGAAACGTAATTGTTTATTGACTAGAAACAAATTTATTAATA